CAGTATAAATTCTGCACACTCGTCTCTGAAGTCTCATTCTTTGTGGGTAACCCTGTACGGAGCCTGTTTAACATTTAATTAAATTGTAATATTAGTTACAGGATTACATGGGTCTAGTGCTTTGGTAAACTAACCACAAACTCTGATTTGTAATCCCTATATCTTGGCAACCTATGTCAGACCTTTGATATCTGAAACGTTAAAATATGTAAATTCAATTAATGCTTGAAATATCAAAGGTTAACACCTCCACGTTGAAAAGATAATGGGATTTAGAAAATTGAGTTGGTGGCAAGAAATAGCTTCCTTTTACCTTAGGAGAACTCAAATCATATATTTCATATTCAATTTAATTCATATATATTCTACAGTAATGATAAATCATAACAGATATTAAAAAAATATTAGTACATAAAACGCAGGAAAGCTTTGATAGCTTAGAGAGCTGTTTCCTCAAAACTCTCCTATGATCCTTACCTAACTAATTTTTATTTAAACAAAGCGACTTTTTACAAATATTATTAAGCACACAAAAATTACAAATACACTAGTTAATTTATTAAAATACTTTAGAATGAGATATCTTTAATCACGATCGCGTTATCTGATTATCCAATGTGCACACTTTTGATTTTCTTCTTATAATCCTCTTCTTGGATATTTCTACTGTATGAAAATTACGTTTGATAACAATTACAGATACAATGCTATATCGATTGGCCGGACTAATATCCGATTGAATTAAAGTCAGCTTTTAGAGCATTTAAACAAATATAAATTTAATCATGTTAATATGAAATTATTAAAAAACATATTTTAGGACTATTGTCATTTTGAACGTTAAGTCTTAATAACATTAATCCAAAATTTACGTTCGTTCAATCGATGTTTAGTTCAATCGATATGACACAATCTATACCAGAAATCAATACCGGTTTTTCAAAAGTTAAAGAGTACATCTTAACATGACACGCTGATTGGTTAAATTTAACTTCTTTCTTGGATATCGAATGCGTTTTAAAATAATCTTGGGTTTAGTAAAACCAGGAGTTTAACTCATTTAAGCGTTAATCTTGATATCCATCATTCTAAAGTTTCAGCTCAGATTTTTTTTTTCCTTTCGTATTAGTCTTTAACACAACAGATATGACCATTGCATCTAATTGAATGTCTAATATGGTTGGATACAGCTAACAAGGTTTATAAACCTGTTTCTGAGTTGGATACAACTAACAA